TTTTTTTTGTTTCATAAAAAAAAACAAAATTCAAATGCGACCTATATATAAATAAACAAAGGTATTTATTTTTAAATATGATTAATTGAAAAATGTATGGGTGTTTTATTCTTACTATATGAATGTTTTTATTTATTCTATGATTTTAAATTTTTTAATTTTTAAAATTGTAAAAGGAAAAAAAAAAACAAAAAAAAAAAAAAAATGTAAATGGAAAAATGTAAGGAAGGTTTTATTTATTTATTTAATAAAATTTTAAAATGTGATTTTGTTATTAACGGGGCCGCGGCTCGGGGGAGGAGGGAGGGGGGAAGGAAGAAATTTGTTTTTAAATTAAACATTTTTTTTGTTTTTCATGTTGGTATTAATAACAGGAAATTTAAGGAAAAATAATTTTTAAAATAATTATTATTATTATTATTATTTTTTTTTTTTTGCGTTTTCCACGCGAATGCCTTGAATGATTATTTTTTTCTTTTAGTGAGAGAAAGAAAGAGAGAGAGAGAGAAAAAAAAATGTCGTTTTACTTACGAGTAAAAATATCAAAAGGTTTGTTTCCCTGCGGCACATCCAATATTCTAAACGGAAAAGATTGTGAAAATGTGGCTAAAACCACGACGCACGTAAACAATTGATACGCGTGCATTTTTTCCGTTTGTTTGTTCGTTTGTTTGTTTGTTTTTACCGTACGATCCGTAAATATGATACCGACGCGAAAGAATCAAACGTATTCGTTTGTTGTTGTTGTAAAACTAATTCATCGATTCGATCGCGCTCGCGTTTGTTTGTTTTTTTTGTTTTGTTTTGTTTGTTCTCCGATTGTCGATTCGGTTGTCTTACGCGGATTTATATATACCCTCGGAGACGTTGATACTCGTGTCACCGTTCGGGGTTTTTCCATTTTTTTCCGATACGCATTTTGTTCGTGGATACTCTCACACGCACGTAACGTTGCGAGTACATACGAAAACGAACAACATGGCCGTTTCCGGGAAAAATTATTTATTATTATTATTATTATGCGACGGATGTATTTTCGCAAGGAAAACCCTAACAAAAACATCCTCCGAATATCAAATTTTAATTTTTTTTGTTTCAAAAACCTTGTTTGACGTGGCATTAGTTTTAGGTAAATGTTTTTTTTTTTTTTTTAATTTTTTAAAATACCGAGAATATGAAATTTTTATAAATTTATTCCGTAACCGTTTTTTTTTTTTTTTTTTTGAAAATTAAAATGAGGTCGATCGAGTTTTCCTCTTTCTCTCTCTCTTGTTTACATTACGTCGATTTATTTTTATTAAAATAAATTTATTCTTCTGACACTGCATAAATTTGAAAATTGAATTTTTTTTTTGCCTTTTTTTTGGTTTGGTGTGCGTGTGCGTGTGCGTGCACGGTTTATTTTTTTTTGGACCAGAAATCAATCGAAAGTTTTTAAATTTTTCTATTATTATTATCATTATTATTATTATTATTATTTTAATGACATTTTTTTTTTGTGGTTTTCGGAGGGTTTAAAGCGTTTATTCCAGGACTTTCCTTTCGGTTCCCTAGGAGTAAGTTCTGGAATGTCTGTGGCGGTGGTCTTAATCTTTCGACAAGTAAAGCATAGTGGTGACTTTCACTTCTGCTTCCACGTTCCTTTCGGTAATTTCAACATTAAAATTTCTTCCCCCCTCCTCCAGATTTATTGTCTTTTTCTGTTGGCCTTGCAGTCATGAGTGCGGACCACTAAGCAAGAATTCACGACCGGAAATATTTACGTTTCAACCGGAAATTAACTCATCTATGATTTCCGAATTCTTTCATTCGAATTATCTCGTCTTATTATTAATTATTATCATTATTTGTAAATATTAATTCGTAAAAATTAGACGACGACGTTGAGGGGAACACAGCAACAACAACAACAACAAACAATTTTTTTTTTTTTTTTACTTTGTCATTAATATAATAATAAATAATTTTTTAACAAGTCGACGGGTCATAATTCAAAAAACAAAAACAAAAAAATTAGGATTTCAAGGTTGAAATGATTAATCAAACGAATCCGTTTTTGGAAAATGTAAACGCACGCATGATACGCACATCGCACGCGCGTTTTTTAAATTCTACGCGAATAACTATAAGGGATGACGTTTAACATTCGATCGATCAAAGAAGTTCACCGAACGAATTTCAAATAATAATAATAATAATATCGATGAGTTTTCTTCGTTTCTCATTTGATGTTTTGCATAAAGACGTGTCCGGAAACGCGAATGGAAAAAACAAAAAATCATCATCACCATCATCATCATTATTATTCATTTTTCTTTTACTTTGCCCTTTTTTTTTTTTTTTGCAAAGTACGGTTGAAAGAAAAAAAGAAAAAAAAATTCAAGGTTTTCCATCAATCAATTCTTTTTTTTTTTTTTAAACATTTAATTTAAAAACGCTGCGAAATTTTTAATTATTATTATTATTATTATTATTACTATTATTATTACTATTATTATTACTATTACTATTATTATTATTATTATTACTATTATTATTACTATTATTATTACTATTATTATTATTATTATTATTATTATTATTATTATTATTATTATTATTATTATTATTATTATTATTATTATTTGAGTTTGTTTGGCTTGAAAAGAAAAATTTAAATTTTTTTTTTTTACGTTTGGAAAAACATTAGAAATTATAAAATTTTTCCTCGAAATAATAATAATAATAGTAACGAGTAAAAAAAGCATTTAAAGCGAGAGATGGGGGCGGGGTGGGGTGGGGAGGAAAAGAAAATTGAATAAAATTTTTTCGCATGTGTGCGAGATGTAAATGATATGAAAAATCAACAAAAATTAAAATGATTTTTAACGGGGAGAGGAGGGGGGAAACAAATTTTTTTTTCTTTTTTCTTTTCATTCGGTGAATGAATGCGGAATGAAAGTTGGAAAAATTTTAATTCGGTTTGTTGTTTGTTGTCGTCAGTTTTTCAAACCTTTGCCGCGATGCTTTTCCTTTTTTTTTTTAAATTATGTTAAAAGATGTCAAAACCATTTTGTTGAAAACCATGAGGGAAAAACGTGAAAAACGGAGGGGAGGGAGGGAGAGGGAACAAAACGTAAAGAAAACAAATAAAAAACAAAAAAAAAAGATGAAAAAGTAATCAAATTTTTGACAGTAGTAGGATGAAAGCGGAAAATATCATCAACGTCATCATCATCATCATCATTATTATTATAAGTAATGCGAACGTGAAATGAAATAAAAAAGAAAAAAAGAAAAAAAACCTTTTCGAATGAAATATTTAGAAATTTCAAAAGAAAAGAAAAAACAAAACAAAAAAAAAAATTATCGGCATTTTTTTTTTTTTTTTGAATTCTCTGGCACTTTCCGACATTTTTTTTTCTTTTTGTTTAATCTTTTTTATATATATAAACGAGAAAATCTACGGTTTTTTTTCTTTTTTTTTAATTACAAATTTTTATCTTCCCACGTTTTTCTTTTTTTTGTCAAAAAAAAAAAAAAAAAAAAAAAAATTCCCCCGGGACGACGAAAGATCAAAAAACGAAAAAGTCAGGGAAATTTTTTTTTTTTTTTTTTACGTTTGAGGCTTTTTTAAGGTATTTAAACAAATTCGGTTCTACTACAAAGCGGTGAGTTTGTATCGCGGAAATTACGTTTCATTAGAAAAAAAACCCTCGAAACCGAAAAAGAAAAAAAAATGAATAAATAAAAATTATCCGAGGGTTGAAACTGTCAAAAGAAAAAAAAAGAAAAATGAGGAGCCGGGAGAAAGGAAAAAAGAAAAAGGAAAGAAAAAAAAAGATGGCGGATTAAAAAAACTTTCATAACGAATTAAAAATTTTTTTAATGTCATTTGTATGTCGTTATATTTTCACGTTATCCCTCTCTCTCTCTCTCTCTCTCTCTCTTTCCAATTCTCTTTCTCTTTCTCTCTATCTCTCTCTCTCTTAACCATTTTCATTCATTCATGAATGGTTGAAACGATGGAGGACGCGAGAATCGAATAAAAGTTGCGAAGGGATGGAATATTTATTTTATTTTGAGGATTAGAAAATCATAGAGTAAATAAATTTAAATTTTCGCGCGCTCAAGGACGCGTTTACATAAAAACAATTGTTTTTTTTTTTTTTTTAAGCTTTAACTTATGAATGACGTATTTATTATTGTTATTATTATTATTATTATTATTATTATATGTATATATATAATAATAAGAGTGGGAAAAACAAGAAGGCACGAAGGATTTTATTAATCGGATACGGAAATAACAAAAAAATGTTTTTTTTCTCGATTCTCGGAATTTCTGTGAGAATAAAATCCAAAACGGAAGTTTATGTGACGTAAAAAAAAAAAAGAAAAAGTAAAAATTTTTATAAAGGAAAAGTGGGAGGGGGGCAAATGGCAAAAATTATTTCAAAAAAAAAAAAAATTTACCTTTGGGATGACGTGGTACGAGAAAAACTTTTTTTTTTTTTTTCGCATATAAAAATCGGTGATTTTTTTTTTTTTTTTGTAAAAACTTTTTCCGATTGAATTATTCTTTCGATTTTTATTTTTTTTAAAAATTTATTTCTCTATGGAAAAGAATAAAGAAAAAAAAAAATTTGAGACGAAAGGACTGGTTTATATTTATTTATTTTTTTATTTGATTATTATTTTTTAAAATAACATTTTTGAATTTTTTTTTTTCTAGTAACACTTCAATAAGTGTTTGAGTGCGTGTGTGCGTGTGCGCGTTTGCTTGCGGTTAGGAAATACTTGACGTCATCAATTTTAAGCATGAAATTTAACGTATTTTCACGGTTTGATTAATTTTTCCATACGTTTCCACTGTTTGGTGACAAGAAAACGCGTCGTTAAAATTTAAAATTTAGTATTATTATTATCATTATTATTATTATTTATTAAAATTGATATTTACTTACGGACGGAAAAAAAAAACTAAAAAAAAACAGGGTGGGGGAGGGGAAATAAATTGATTATGAAAAGCTGAGGGGTCTTATGGCGCAAAGCATTTCGCATATAGTTTCCGATAAATCGTACGAAACGTTTTCGATTTTTTCTTTTGCATGTTGGCTACAATGATCCATTGCCAAATTGTATAAATCCGAATAGAACTTTAAACGAGAAAAAAATTTTTTTTTAAAAAATGTCGGCACTATCATAGTCATAGAGATAAAAAATGTTTTTTTTATTACTTTCATTCCTTGTATTCCTTCATCGTTGAAACTCGCGCTAACTTCCGTGCAATCAACTAAAATTGCCTTGAGTGGGGTCACGTGTAACATATTGTAATTCGGCTGGGGAAAGAAAAATTCGTGCCAACCTTCGAATTTAAAAAAAAAAAAAAAAAAAAAACAAAATGTCGGAAACTCACGGGACGTTTTTTATCGGTAACTTCTCTCATTTGTAATATCATGTTTCTCCTTCCGGCTGGTGCGTTCCATCGAGACCATGCAAAATTATGACTCGTAGACATGACGGACATGCAATGATACAAATGATTTTCCGCCGCTCTGTGTTTTAAAACGGTACCCTCCAAATAACAGAAAACATCGGGCGGGGGAAATATGTCGACTCCGCCATTTTGCAAAATCTAAAATCCATGAAAATAATTTATTATCTTTTATTTTCGCGGTTCATTTTTTTTTTTTTTTTTCGTACTCACATTGATTAGTTTTTTCGGCCTGTAAAATATTCCGACGTGTTCTTGCATGGCGTTCGTGGTTCCATTTTGTAATTGATTAACCGAAACTTTACCGTCCTAGAAACAAAAAAAAAAAATCAAAATCTTTTTAGTTTATGTTAATTTCATATAACGGTAAAATTATTATTATTATTATGGAATGGAAATGTGGGTGTGTGTGCGCGTGCGCGTGCGAGTTTTTTACTTTAATTAAAAATTCGATGATTGCGACGGCAGCCGTTATGTTAAGTAAAACTCCTACGCCGCCATTCTGATTTTTCGATTCCGGTTTCATTTCCCACGTTTGAAATGGAAAATTGCAATATCGGTAACAAGCCAAACCGACGAGACCCATTCTTCCGCTTCGAAAAGTCACAGTCTGTAATAATAAAATAAAATTTATTTTATTTTATTTAATTTAAAACGTTTTCAAATATGGCGCCCGCGCGCGCGCGTATGAAATAAAACCACGAACATTTTTTTAATTAATTAATTTTTAAGACGTTTAAAAAATTAAATAAAAAAAAAAGATGTCGGTGACGTGTCGGGATTATGATCATTTTACCTGTTTATCTTCGTTAAATTTCAAATCGTGAATTTCTTCCGTCGACCAATAATTATTGTTCGGATCCCAATTGGCGGCGAGAGGTTGTTCGAACCACAAAACCGTTTCCGGTAAACTGTTTACGTAACGGTCAAATTTAAAAAAATTTTTTTTCGGAAGCGAAATCGGGTGAAATTTGTAAATCGGGGAAAAGGGGAAAAAGCGGAAACGGAAATGAAAAGTAAAATAATGGAGTAGGAAAATATTAAAGAAAAGAGGGGGGGGTGAGGAGTGATTTGAAGTTATTATGAAATTTAAAATGACAGACATGACTTTTTTTCGCGACGTTTTTTTTTTTTTTAAAAGGAATTCGTGACGTGTTTATGGATTTTATTTATATTTTTTGTTCGTATTGAAAAATCATTCGTATTATTATTATTATTATTTACATTATTATTATTATTATTATTATTAAGCGATATGAAATTTCCGAATTTATCATAAATCGCGAGGGAATTTAAAGAATAGAAAAAAATAAATTTTTTTAATGCCGATTATTTTGCATCGTATTTCACGAGGGATTTTTTTTTTTTTTTTTTTTGTTTTTGGTCCCCTCTACAAATTATTAAACTTTAAAAAAAAAAATTTTCTAGAAAGATTTTCCCGATCGTTTAAATTTTCCGTCGTGAACGAAATTTAAAAAAGAAAAAAAAATGGCGAATTTACGTAAAGAATTTTTTCTTTTCTTTTTCTTTTTAATTTGAAAATTATTATTATTATTATTATTATTATTATTTTAGTTTATAAATCAATGAAATGAAAGAAAGAATGATGAATGATTAAAAAAAAAAATCAAACCGAAAAAAAAAAATTTAAATTTTTTTTAACGGTTTGATTACGTCACATTTACGATAAACAACAATTAAAAGCACACAAATAAATTTTTACAACAAAAATAATAACATTTAAAAAAAAAATTTTCGCGCCTTTTTTTTTTTTTTTTGGTTCGTTTCGAAGTGTATTTAGACAATTATTTAAAATATGGCGAGTTTTATTGTACACGCAAAAAAAAAAAAATATGTGCGTCACATATAGAGTGCTTTTGTTGTTGTTGTTGCTATATAGAGCACATTTGAATGAAGACAATGTATGAAATATGATTTTAAACGTTTGGTTAAAAATTACTCGTAGAAAAACGAAAAATGAATGTTGTCATTATAAAACAATCAATCAATCAATCAATCATTCCACCCATTCATCCATTCATCAATCCGGTCGATTAAAAATTAACGTCATAAAAAAAAAAATTCTTCCGGTTTTTTTTTTTTTCTATTCGTTGTTCGTCATTAAAAAAAAATTGTAATTTTTTTAAATTTTTTTTTTCGTTAAGTTGGTAGAATTTATAACGAAACAAAAAACGTTATTATCATTATCATTTAAAATTAATTATTTTTGTTTTTGTTGTTGTGGAAAATTTGATTGATCGAACCGGAAGTTAACTTAACGAGTGAGTTTGAGATTTTTTTTTAAAAAATGACGGTTTTTGTTCCCCACCGCCGCGATCACGTGACTTTTAAATTTTTATGTAAGCGTTAAAAAAATGATACACGCACACATACGCACACGCGTGTATGTAAATATACATATATACGTATTTACTTTTTACGAATTTCGATACGTTGCGAATGATTTAAATGAATCGAATTCTTCTGCTGTTGCCCACACGTTGTTGATCGTTTAACTAAAAAAAGTGAAAAGACAGACACACACATAAATAAATAAAAACTAATTTAGGTGACGGACACATTTAGTGAATGCTAAAAAAAAAAAATTGTTTGTTTGTTCGTTTGTTTGTTTGTTTGTTTTGACACAATTATTATTATTATTATTAAAACAAATTTTTTCGTGTGTGTGTGTGTGTGTGTGGACATGATTAACTCACTCAACCGTCAAAACGACTAATTTTTGAAGTTCTTTTTCTTTTTCCATTTCTCTTTTTAAATCTTCTGCGGGTTTTTTCGCCGTTTCCGGTTCTTCACTAAACATTCATGTTAAACACATTTTATTATTATTATTATTATTTTGTCGTTTGTTTGTTTGCGCGGTTCGTTCGTTTGTTTGGGGGGCGGGGTTTTTTAAAAAAAAAAAATTCGACTGATGCTACTTACGCCACTGTGACGCCAGCTAATTTTTCCATTGCTTTTTCTTTTTTCTTGACTTCTATTTCGATTTCTTCGGGTGTGCGACGAGCACCAGGTTCGGGGGGAGGCGGAGGTATGTAATGTTCGTAATATGGTAACGAATTTAACGTTTCCGGTACGTTAACTGTAACGAATTTTTGGAAATTTGTTTTTATTGGGGAAAAATAAAAAATGGCGATTGATTTTTTATTGATCGTACCTAGAGTCACGACGGTTTTGTCGTTGAGTTCTCTCGGTTGTGGGGGTTGTTCGAGTAAATCCAAATAATAAACTCCGCCGAGAAATGTAAACTTGCGTAAATTGACTTCGTGCGTCACTGATTCCACGATCATTTGTTTTTTTAATTCTTTCAATTTATTTTCTGTAAAAACAAAAGAGAGAGAGAGAGAGAGAGTGAGAGTAGATCATGAATGATTTTATTGGTCGATATTAAAATCACCTTCTATGTCCGAAATCATTTCCGAAATTGTTTTTTTCGGTTTGTTCGTTAAAAGTTCTTCGGCCGTTGCACTTTCGATACTTTTCTCATATTCGTCGAACTGTTTTTGCAATTCGATTTTAAGCTTCCATTCGTCTTCCATGATTTCGTTTAAATCTGATTAAAAAAATTGGTTAAATCATTTCGAATGAAAGGGTGGGGGGGAGGTGGGTGGAAAGATAAGAACCTTTTGAAAAAATGTCGGGAACGATAGAAGGGCAATCCCACGTGCGACAATTGTCAGAAATGTGATCGTATTTCAACCACAAAGCTCTCACCGCCATATTGACGTCGTAAAATCCTGCTGGAAGAAGAATGCTCACACCGATGTTTGGAAAATCCAAATTAAAACTTTTTCTGATGAGAGGGTTGGGGCAAAAAAAAGAAAATTTCAATAGCGTGGCAGGAGTACAATCGTTAAAATTATCATTCTTACTTGACTTCGTTCACGGCTCCAGCGGAAACGGGTAAATGAGTCACGTTCCAAAGATTCAAAGTAAAATATTTACTTTCCAAAACGTATTTTCTTTTCGTCATGTCTATGATTTCTAAATTTTTATTCACGTCTCTTAATAATTTGTACGTTGCAAAATCCAAACGTTTTTGCTGATGGTCTCTCATTTCGTTCCTTATCTGGAAATTTCCAGTATTTATTTATTTATTTATTTATTTACCTTGGAAGAAGTTGTTTGATCCACGTTTTTTTATTTTACCCTTTTCCATTCGTTTATGTGTCAGGACGTGGCATTAGATGGGGAATCGATAATCAAATCGTCCAATCCGTTTAATAACTGTCGCAAAGAGAAAATGAGAGTTTTAAAAGAATCATTCATTTCCGGTTAGTAAAAACACATTCGTTTTAAAAAACGACTCACCGTTAAAACTTCTTCCGTTTTTTCCAATTCTTTATCCATTCCAACGAACGTATTATCTTTTTTCCATAAATATAAATATGTGTTCATTTGTGAAAATGAATTCGGATCCGGAAATCCGTCGCATTTTAAATATTGCGCCCACTTAAAAATGAAATTTAAACCGATTATTGAGGGGAAAAAATTTTCTCTATTCATTGATAAAAAAAAAAACGTTATAATTTTATTTTTCGAATTAAAAAAAAAAAAAAAAAACAGATAAATCCGCTTTGAAATAATTTTAAAAGAAAAAAAATTTTCTTTTATTTCATTTCCGTTTCCGGTCGGTTAGTCAGGTCGAAAGAAGAAGAATAAAATAAGTGTTGAGGAGTTTAAAATTTTTTTAAATTTGGTGGTTTAGATAGAGTATCGTTTAACGAATTTTTTTTTTTTTTTTTTTTTCAAATGTTGGCAAAAATAAAAATGGTTGAGGTTTTATTATTTATTGACGCGCAAGCAAAAAACGGAAATCAATGACAAAATGATTGATTTTATTTTATTTTATTTTTCTTCTTTTCTTTTTATAAATCGTCTTATTTTATTATTGCAATTTTCATTACTGGAAAAAAAGAATAATGATAATAATAATAATAATAATAATTTCGTTAAGACGAATCAAATTGAAAAGTATAAATTTGATTACGTCACGGTTTACGGTTTTTTTCGGTTTTTTTTCTTGTTCGATTTATTTCGATTATTTTCGATGTATCGAAATTGAGGGGGGAAAAAGGTTAAAGTAAGTGGTGAGAATGGGAAAATCAAAATTGAAATGTGTGTGGGTGTGTGGGGAGTCATGAAAACAATGAGAGTCAATTTTAATTAATTGTTTTTTTTTTTTTTTTTTGTTTCGTAATAGAGTTTAAAAATCTCTCTCTCTCTCTCTTCTCTCAATTTTATTTTTTTCATTGTTTATTTTTTTTCTCTCTCTCTCTCTTTATTTTTACTCTCCTTTTTTTTAGTCTCCCCTCTTTCTGTGTGCCCTGCCTCTCTTTCTCTCTCTCTTTGTCCCTGTTTTTTCCCTTCCTCTCTCTCTTTGTCCCTGTTTTTTCCCTTCCTCTCTCTCTGTCTCTCTGTTTTTTTTAATATCATTCCTTTCTCTCTCTCTCTCTCTCTCTCTCTCCCCCTATCTGTTTTTATTTTCCCCCTCTTCCGACGAGAATACAGAAATCGGGTGACCCATTCTTTTCAAAACCAAAGAGACCGACCAACTTTTTTTTTTTCTTACTCATAAATAATTTTTTTTTGTCGAATGATAAATTTTCATCCTTCGAATTATTAATAATAAAGGGAATAATAATTTACGCGAATTCATCGGTTAACTCTTCTTCGAGCCATACGTTTCCGTTTCCGTAAGGAAAAAAATTTATCATTTCGGGTTATTCACGTTTGTCGTAAATAAACCCCCGCCCCCGCCCCCCGTTGTTTGCACAACTATTTTTTTCGATATATTTTGACAAACATAAATTTTTATTTAGTTAGAAATGAAACGCTCACGCACGCACGCACGCACGTATAAATGTCAAAGGGAAATTTTTAATAAGAATTTTTTTTCTTTTTTGTAATTAAATTTATTTAATTCGAAATGATGATGATGATGATGATGATAATGGTTTCCGCTTTCGATATTTTTGTGTTTTCGCGTCTGTTTGTTTACTTTTTAAGGAAAACTCGAGTTTATTTATTTCATTTTTTTTTTTTTTCCGCAAATTAACGTGATTGGTTTAATCAAGCGATAAAAGGTTTTTCCTCTTTCACCCTGTCGAACGTGTAAGAAGACGAGTAGAAAGAGAGAGGGGGTAGGGGGAGAGGAGGGGGATTAAGGAAAAATTGTAAATGAAATAAACACATTTACGGATAACACAGGGAAAACCGCGTTTTCGTGTTTAAAATTTCCAATCCGGGTGTGGGAAATGCAATTTTCAATTTTTTTTTTTTTTTTCGGAAAAAATAAATTCGTTTCGACATTTTGGAATTTCCCCCCCCAACTCCCCCCCTTCCCAGTTTTATTATTAAAAAAAAAAATTCCAACGTTTTTTCTCACCTCGTTTTCCGTTCGAATTTTCGCATCCGAATTTTTTTTAGTATTTTTTAATAATTTGAAAAAATCGCAAGTTGCCTTCAATTCTTTTCGCCTTATCACGTGTTCCGCTTTTTCCCTTTTGATTTTTTCTTTTGCTAATTTTTTTTCCCTTTCTATCCTTTCTTTTTCTTCTCTTAAAAGTTTTAACCTCGAGGGAAAAAAAAAAAAAAAAAAATTTCAATAAATAAATATGCGTTTTATTAATCGAAAAAATTTAATGTTTGGGGGTAGGAAGGGAGAGAGAGAGGGAGGGAGGAGCGGGAAAAATGGGGTTTGAAGATGGGGGAGGGGGGGTTAAAAAAAGTCGGGTATTATTATTATTATTTTAATAACGTTACCTTTCCTGTTCCAAATGCAACCTTTTCATTTTTTCTTGTTCGTCTGCTAATCTTTGCCTTTCTTTTTTCGTCATTTTTTTCTTTTTCGGTCCCTGGTTTCAAATCACATGAATTATTATTATTACGAAAAATCACAAAATAATAATAATGATGATGATAAATCCGTCGGAAAATTTCGTTACTCACCATTTTTTTTTACTTTTTTTCACGTTTTTCACTATTAATTAATTAATTTTTTTTTTTGCTAGATTTTTCTAGAAAGATTAAAGAAAACCTTTTTAAAATATGTCGGAAAAGAGTACGAAATAAAAAATAATTATCGAACGATATATCGACATAACAATTTTTCCTTTTTCTTTTCTTTTTTTACTTTCTAGAAAATGTTTCCACGGAGACGCGGAAAAAATTTTCCGCATTAATTTTTTTTTTTCTTTACTTTATTGAATATCGAATCCAGGGGTAGGTGGGGGGAAAGAGGGAAATTTTATCGCTACGTTTAACTTACCTGGTGTGGTGACCTCACCACAGAAAAGCAGCAAACGATTATTTCCGGTTGGGAAATAAATAATAATAATAATTGGATTAGTTTACGCGTTTTTTGTTTTACGTGGAAAATGATGTCGTTTTCCATATTAAAAAAAAAAAAATTCGTTTCATTTTTTTTTTTTGATTTCCGGTTCCGTTCGGTTCGGTTCGGTGCGGGTAAAAAGAGATTTAAATTATTTATAAGAGATGAAAAATAATAAATAAAAAAACCGAAAAGAAAAAGTTGGAAAACTCGACGCCGGTGGCAATTTATATTTTAATTTTCTTGATAAAAGAAAATTATTATCATTATTATCATTTATTGCGGGATGAGGGAGGGGATGGGGAGGTTCGTTCAATTTTTTTTTTATTTTCTTTCCCTTCCATTTTTGATTTTTTATTACTTCGGGATATGAAAATTTATTTATGTAAATATTAACAACAAATTTTTCCATGTTATTTTCATATTTATTAAACAGACAATTAAAAAAAAATTCCCGTTTCTCTCTCTCTCTCTCTCTGTCTTTCGATTTCCCTTTTAAAATTTTTTCCGGATATGAATTTTTTTTTTTTTTTTTTTCCTTGACAAAAGAATTCGAAAAAAAAAAATTAATATGTCGTTAATCAAATTTCGTACGTATGGATCGATTTTTTTTTTTTTTTTTTGTGTGATTGGCTCCCCTGCGAGTTGCCTCTTCCAAAGCCTCTTCCGATCAGCTCTCATTCCAATCGTTATTTTATCATTATTATTATTATTATTAGACAGACAAAACGCATAAATTTCATAATATTTCACATTATTTATTTTTTTATTTAGTTTCAAAATATAAAAAAAAAAAAAACAAAATGGCGTCGTTTTTTTATTTACGAAAAGCTTAAAGGTCTTACCATGTGTAAAAATTCTTTAACGGTTTGTATGAGAGATTGACTCGTTTTACGTAATTTTTTTTTACAATTGATTGTCGAATTTTTATAAAGCAAACCGTAAAGGTCGACATATTTCTAAAAAAAATGAAGAAATGAATGCGATTAGAGAGAGAGAGAGAGAGAGAATAATTTGATAAAATTTTCCTCCCCCCCTCCCCCACAAACTTACTGCGGTTCCGGACATGGGTTCGGGATTATAACTCGTGCTCGTATCTTCTTTCATTTTAAGCACGTACGAACTACACATTGAATTTTGTATAAGTGAATAATCGCACTGGAAAAAAGCAATAATAATAATAATTATAATTATTATAATTTTCGAAAGTGTGAAGAGCGTGTGAGAGAGAGAGAGGGGAAGAATTTTCTTTATTGTTATCATTTTTTCCAACCTGATGATTGGGATTAACTTCTTGTGCTAAAAATAATATGTTGCTCCTTCCCGCGGATTGATTGAATTTGGATCTTTTGAACCGGAAACTCTGTGAAAATAATCCCCATATTTGATAAATTGTTTTTTCCACGACGTAATGTTTTGATTTTATCGTGTCCACATAAGTTCCGGCATCCGGTTGTGGAAATATGTCGAGTCCTTTCTTTTTTAAATACTGAAAAGGATTTTTAATTTGAATTGTTTGTTGTTTGTACGTTTGTACGCGTTGTTTGTACGTGTTGTTTGTATGTGTCGTTTGTAAATTTCCCTCCCCCCCACCCACATACCTTTGCTAAATCGTCCGGAGTGTAAAAATTTCCCACGATGGACGACCATATGACTTTGTTGGGAGCGTTTCTTATTTGTTCCAAACAAACTTTGTTTTTCTGTAATTTTTCAAAGGGTCAGGTATCACGTACCACGTGACTTTATTTCGAAAAAATTTCGAAAAACAACTTACGCGTATGATAAAATTCAATTCGACCATTGAGGTTTTCAAATAAAAATTCACGCCGTTATCGTTATCGCTTTCGAAAAGCCAATCTTCGTAGGGCATGTTTTTGTATCGTGTGACGTGAAATCCGAACAAACCTAATCGTCCGCAATTGAATGTTATCGTCTGCTCATAAACGGAAATTAAAACGTAAAATTTAACGGATTTTTTAATCATTATTATTATTATTATTATTATTATCATCTCGATAGTCACCCCATCGTCTTCGTAATTCGTTTCGTAAATATCTTCGTTCGACCAATATTTACGATTCGCGTCCCAAAGTGCGACTTTTGGATCTTCGAACCACGTCACCGTTTCACACCGCCTTGGAAAAATACAAAAAAAATTCAATTGAGAACGTAATCGATGATAACAAATGGGGGGGGAGAGGAAAATTTACTTTAATTCGATGGAAACGAGTTTTTTTTTCCCTTCCAATAAGTCGTTTCTCGACATTGCTATACGTCTGATTTTTTCTCTTTTAGTTTCCGCAGCGTCTTCTCCCTCTTCGTCTTCCGTTTCCGGTTGGTTTAATTTATAATAATAATCGACTCTCATAAGTTCAGGACTTTGAGTTCCTTTAATAATAATAATAATAATACCGATAATAAATGGTGATTGTTTTTATATACAAACGACAAACAGAACTTGAGTCTCACTTAGTAGAACGCTATGTTTGTATCGTAGAAATTTCGGTTGGGGTGGTTGATGTAAAATTTCGATGAGTAACAAATCACCCAAAATTGTTCTCTCTCTTAAATTGACTTCGTTTTCGTTCAAAATGGATTTTGTTAATTTTCCCAAATTATCCTCTTCTTCCCCTATCAGAAAAAAAAGAAAACAATTTGATTTTCCCGCGCTTTCTCTCGCGTTCAGAAAAAGAAAAAAAAAAGTTGGTAATCACATTCTTTGAAAGCAACTTCCTCGGAGAGAGCTCTTTGCGGTTCGGAATCCCACGTCAAAAGTTCTTGACTTAGTGATGGATCGGGTGGCAAAGTGCTTATCATGTGTTTTTTAATATTTTCCAAAGTTTTCCGATAATTCATCAATTCAATTTTCGTTTCGTTTTCTTCCATGAAAAGTTCGTAAACGCCTAAAAAAAAAAAAAAAAAAAAAAATGTCGTCAAATGTCGTACCGGGTTCGACGTGTAAAAAGAAAGAAAGAGAAAAAGAAAAAGTACTTTTCGAGTAGAATTTAGGAAGGGGATGACATTTGTATGTACGACTCGTGTCGCTCCAATGATCGTAATACAACCACGCCGATCTCATGACTTTATGAATGTCTAACAAATTGACGGGAACGATAATTATGACGTCAGTTTCTTCGAAAACAACTTTGAGAGGATGTCTAAGAAGACGAACAAAAAATTAGGACGCGGTTCGTGCCGGGGGGGGGGGAGACCAAAGACGAGACACCTTTGCTCCTACCTGACTTCTTTCAATCTCGACGAAGGTATCGGTGTTATCAATTCCGCCCATAAACTCATTCTAAAATGATTTCCTTTCGCGGTATATTTAGATGTCGTCACGTTCATCGAAACCATGTCGGTTTCGATTCTGCTAAAAAGTCGAAATGTTGCCGCGTCGATGTTTTTCTGTAGTAAACTTCTCAATTCGTGTCGTAACTTGAACCAAAAAAAAAAAAAAGAAGGGAAAATGGCGGGAGTTCTTTTGACACGATAGTTTTCGATTCGAAAAATTCGACAAGAAGACGACAAACTAACCTCTTTTAAATCTTCGATGTAATTAAGAGAACTTTCAGGTGGTGGATCATTGATAACTTCTTCTAATCCGTCCAACAGCTGCTTGGGGGGAAACCAACAAAGGGGATTCAATAACAATCGATGAGATCGATCGTACGTTTCGCACTATCTGTTATCATCCATCGTTACCTTCATGACTTCATCCGTTTTTTCCAAACAGTAAGCCATGGTATCGTTATTTTCGTATTCCATCCATTGAAATATGTACGTGTTCATTTCGGTTATGGATCCCGGATTGGGTAATCTGGAGCCCGATAAGTATTGTTCCCACTGGAAACGACAAAAAAAACTCTCTTTTATTTCTACCCCCGTCTCCCTTCCCCCTTTCCAACTTGAAATTTATACTAATAATAATAATACTTCTTTTTGTTTTCTCTTTTGGGTTTTAGTTTTGGCCCAGTGAGTGTTGATTTCCGACAGGACTTTATTCGATTTTTCCAATTCCGATTGTCTCCATAATCTTTCGGCTTCGTATTTTTCAACTCTGTCACGATTGATTTCCCATTCCCGCTGTACTCGGACTTTGGTATCTTTTAAATATTCTTGCCTACGAAATCGTGTGAAGTAGTTAAATAAAAGAGGGAGGGGGAGGGGGAGGGCAAGGAGTAGGAGGAGAAAAAAAAATTTACTTTTGTTTAATTGTACGTTGTTTAATTTCTTCGTTGACTCTAGCTAATAATTTTTTCATATACGCCGGTTTTAATTTTTTCTTTTTGAGTTTTTTCTTTATGTGTACATAAAAAGAAAAAGAAAACCGTTAACGATGATGATGATGATAATAATTCGTATCGTATTTTTGTATTTTGCTTACCCTGAAAGTTTCGATGATATCTTCAGGAACATTTTTAGGATTTAATAAGAATTCAAGAGTCTAAAAAAAAGAACAAAAAAAAATAATTTCCATTACGTTAAGTTTTTATTCGTTTCGTATACGACGTTTTAATAAATACCTCGGATTTTCTTTTTATAAATGAATTTTCCATTTTTCCAAAAAAAAACTAAAAAAAGTTTAAACCCACCCCCCCTTGCCGAAAAAAAAAAAAAAATTTAAATAGATAAACTGTAACTTTTTCGGTCGAAAACAACTTTAATTTTATTCCTTCTTTGACATTGTTTACTTTTTATGTTATTTACACGTTTTCTTTTTCCCCGTCGTGGAATCTTTTCTTTTTGGCGGGAAAATAAAAATCGGAAAATTTAATTTAATTTAATGAAATTCCGCAATTAATTATTATTCAAATGGTTTTATTATTATTACTATTTTCATCCAAACGAATCATAAAATGAATGAATGAATGAATGAAATTTATTTAATAACGTTATTATAATCATTATTATTATAATGACACTTGAAAAGGTTTTTCTTCCCTTTTCTCTCTCTCTCTCTCTCTCTCTATTTATCAAATAAAACGAGTCGATTTGTTGTGAAATGATAAGAATAGATAGATAAGGGATTCACCACATACCTGAAATTGTTTGTTAGGGAACAAACGGGGGGGAAAAGGTTTGTTGTAAGAGGCATGTTGTACACATGAACAGTACTCGACAAAACTTGTTTATTATTATTTTGAAAATGAATAAAAATGACAATTTGTTTTTTGTAGTGTCTGACATATTTGAAAAAATTAATTTTTTATTTTTATAAGATTATCATAAAATGGAATATTTATTTTGTTTGATTTTTTCACAGAAGGTTCATTATTTTTATTATCATCATCACCATCACCATCACCACCATTACTATTCTCATTCATTTCATCATCATCATCATCATCATTGTCACTTTTGTCACAGCCAGTGAAATATTTTCTTAATTCTGCCGCACATGAATTAATTGATTGTACAGCTTTGTCTCCTTCGCACATGGGTTTCGAATAAGTCACAGTGTCGAAATAAGTGAAAGGCATAAAACTATTATTGAATTTTTTATTCGTCACTGTTGTTTCTAAATTGCATTCGACTTTCATATCAGGATCCAATATTCTAAATTCATCTTTGTGAGATTTGAAAATAACATACAAGATTGGATATTCGATTATTATTTTATCTTCGAAATTTTCTTTCAACGACGAATGTACATCCAATTGAAAAAACGAGGGTTGTTCTATGACGTTTTCCGCTTTGAGTAAAACTTCCAAACCTGGCAAACCGGTCGAGTGATAATATTTGAGAATTTTCCTCTCCGCATCCGGACACTTATCGAAATCCACGTAATTGGATAATATGGTCGATAGCCTGTCGTTTTCGTTACATTTATCAATGACCACATTCAAATTATCCGCGTGATAAAATATCAATTGAATTTTCCAATGTATTATTTTCGTTTCGAAGTGTAAATACGTCGTATTGTTTTGATGCCTCGTGAAATGCTGTGGTAAAAATTGCAAAGTCGTTTTTCTAGACAAAGCTTCTCTCCTTAATTTGTACAAGTGAGGCGGTAGAGGTTTGTTAAATCTCGTGTATTTTTTCAAAGGATTACGTTTGCAATTGTCAACGGTTCTCGAAACGTCTTCGAGTAACCTGTAATCACTCAACAGGGTTAGGTTATTAAATTTTGACATGGGAACGAAACCGACTTTATCCCGATCTCCGCTGCAATCCAATTCTTTTTTATGTATTTTTACACAATTCAATGAACACGTTTTTATTTCGCATCTCGGACACGTGTACTGAGCATTTTCATTACCGCAAACTTCACAATTTCCAAGCCGGTTATATTTCTCATCACAACAATCCGAGTCGTCCATTTTGAAATGGCGATCACGTGATAAGACGTGGCATGAGACGCGTAAAGTCATAGACGTTGAATTCTTCGGTTTTGTTTATAATCCATTAAAATTTCTTTCGCTCGTCCATTCGGGGGGGGGAAAAAAAAAATAAATAAATAAACAAAACGTATTTCGTAATAGTAATTATTAATTTAATAATAATAATAATGATAATGATAATGATTAAATTATTATTAAAATATTATTTAATTTCTTCTTCTTCTTCTTCTTTAAATTAAATATAATTATAAATTATATTTAATTTATTGTACGTGATTAATTACATTTAAAAATTTTTTTTTTTCGTTCGCATTATTATTATTATTATTATTATTATTATTACTATTATTATTTGTAATTAAAAATTATGTTTAAAAAAAACGAACACATAAACTTAAGACAGAAACAAAATGATTTAAAAAAAATTTTTTTTTAGGCACTTTTGTGCAAACAACTGTTGTTACGATTACGATATTGCTATTTTTAATTATTATTATTATTATTATTATTATTATTATTATTATTATTATTATTTCTTTTGAAATTTATCTTCCATTTTCGGTGGCATGCAACCAATATATCTGTCGTGGTAGGAAGTTCTTTCGATTGCATTTTCGCATCTTGCTTCCCCGTAAAAATGTATTTTAGCAAAATCATCGCAATCCGTTATGCCATCGTTGTTACAATCCTAAAACAAAATGCCAACTTATCATTCCTGCAGAGAGAGAGAGAGAGAGAGAGAGGGGGGGGTGGGGCAGAAATAATAATAATAGTATAAGTACTCGGCCGTTTTTAGCCATGTAGTTGGAAACTATTTTCGTTGCACAATTGTAATTTTTGGCACATGTTTCGTGTCCATCTTCTCTATATCGAGGATCGGAATTTAAAGTGACTCTGTCGGCTTCTTCCCAATATTTTCGGGATATGAAGAAGGGACCGCAAAAACCTTGTGGAGAACATTCGTAATTTTTATCACATCCCGTCGAGGCCGTGCAAATACACTTCAAACAGGCGGCGTCTAAATTCGAAACGAAGACTTGAAACACAAAAAATTAATTAATTAATTAATTAATTAAATTTAATTAAAAATGGACGTGAGAAAATCCTTGGAAAACAAACGAAACGAAACGGGGAAAAAAAACGGTTTTACCAAATTATTATTATTATTATTATGTATGCAACGTGCGCGTTACGTTTGAATATTTATACGACACAAATATTTTAAAAGGATTATGCAAAATTTCATTAAATAATATATTTTTTAAAACAAAAATCGTACACAAGAGACAACAACAACAAATTTCGTTTGTTTTACTCAACAATAATAATAATAATTATTATTATTATAAAATGAGTAAAACAAACACGAAAAAAAAAGTAAATATTTAAAAAGCAATTAAAATTCTTTCGAACTCCTCGCGCATTTGTCAAATAGTTTCATCGAACAACAACAACGACAACAACAAACATTACCATTATGCTATCAAAATTAGAATTCAAAAAAGGAAAAAAATTTCACAATCGAAAACATTTAATAATAATAATAATAACAAATTAAAGGTATGTGAAGAAATAAAAATTTCTCAGAAACAAAACAAACGTACATGGAAATACGACGACAACGACGTCAACAACGAGTTAATAAAACTCAAACGAGACAGACACTCAAGCAGAAGACAAACAAGAAGTTTTAACAAGCAAAAAAAAAAAAAAAAAATTTAAAAATAAATGAGTATTAATAACGTGTTGTTGTTAGTATTATTATTATTATTATTAATAAAGTCGACGAGATTGGAGGTCAAGGAAATAAATAAATGGAAACGACAACAACAACAACAACCGAGATGATGTGGTGCGAAGAGAAACAAACCTAATCCGGTCGGTCAATAAATTTCAAGAAGGAGAGAGAGAGGGGGAGAGAGAAAGAGAGAGAGAGAGCAAGCAAACAAGCAGAAGACAAAAAAAAAAAAAAGGAGAGAAAAAAAATACCTGAAATCCTTACGTACCTGCTTGAGAAAGTGCTAGAAGTGATAAAATTTCAACGAATAATATATATACCATGTTTGGTAGTTAAAAAGCTACTGAAAATAACGCCTTGCTTATATACGACAATCGCAAATTCATGTTTACGTTCATAATTAGTTTTTTTTTTTTTTTTTTTTTTTTTTTTTCGCAGAACGTTTGTCGTTGTTTTTCGTTTTCAAAACCGGATTTCACATGTTTAGATTACGATCGTGTTGAAATTTTTTTTTTTTTTTAAATTACCGGATTAATAAGCCAAAACCAGTCCGTTGTTGTTGTTGTTGTTGTTCGTTTGTTTGTTTGTTTGACTATTTAATATTATTCACTTTTATTCTTGAGTCTTCTCGTTTGGGTTTTTATCATCATCATCGTCATCGTCATACTAATAATAATAATAATCGTAAACTTCATCGTCGTCGTTATCATTATCATTATCATCATCATCATTATTATTATTATTATTATTTTACGTTCGTTCGTGTAAGAGTTTGAACGGTATTTACTTTTTTCTTTTCTTTTCTTTTTTACTCTTTGCCCCTCCCCTTCCTCTCATTCAATTCCGGAAAATTTATTATTATTATTATCAGACGATAGAGTAGGAGGAGGAGAGGGGCGGGGGAGAGGGGAGGAAGGGGGGAACATTCGATTCGATCGGAAATCACAAAAATTTAATTTCATTCTCGAATTTTTTTTTTTTTTTTTTTTTTAAATAATTAAAATCGTAATTATTATTATTATTATCATTATCATTATTATTATTATTATATAAAAATTCAAAAGGGATGATTTTAATGGCGGAAATGGCGAATTTTCTTTTTTTTTTTTAACCAATCAGGAAATTAACAAAAAAAAAAAAATTTAAATTATTATTTAAAAAAAAAATAAATTAAAATTTATATTTAAAGAAAAAAAAAAAAAACAGAAAAGAAAATTTTCAGTTGTTTAACAACAATAATAATAATAATAATGATGATGACTAATTATTATTATTATTATTATTATCATCTTCATAAGTGACGTTTACTTCATTGTCGAAAATTTATCATCGTTCTTGGACGATTTGTTTGTAACGTTGCGAGGAAAACAAAAAACTAACTAAAAAAAAAAAAAAAAAAAAAAAAAAAACAAAGAAGAAGAAGAAGAAGATGTGACGACAGAAGCAGACGACAAATATTAATTATCCAGTCAAACTTTGAACGCTCGTTAAACAATTATAAAATCTCGCTTCGAAATCTTTGTTCCAAGTTCCAGAAGAACAACCGTAGCCTCCAAGATGGTGGATGGATGCAAAATCAACGCAATCTATTTTACCATCGCGATTGCAATCCTGTTTCGACAAACAAACAAGTAAACAAACAATCAAACAAACGAAAAAAATATTTTTTCTGGATGGAAAATAATAATAATAATAATGATAATTAATTTACCTGTTGGAATTTCGTGAAATATTGTTGAACGGCTTGCGCGGCACAAAATGGTTCGGTAACGCATCTCACCCAAGCTAAAAATAATAATAATAATAGTTATCATTATCATCGTCTGGTGGTGGAGAAAGAGAGAGAGAGAGAAACAAGACGACGAGAGAAAGAAAGAAAATTGTTTGTCTGTTTGTTGCCCTTGTTCGAAAAAAAAAAATTTAAATGAAAGCCATTGTTGTGATATTAAAATCGGGTCAATAGAAGGCTAAACGGGATCTTTTTGTTACACGATTACGGAAGCGAGCAGTAGAAAAGTCACGATTATGTATGAAAAGGTCAAGAATTTTCTCTCTATCTCTCTTTCTCTCCGTCTCGAGGAAAATTTAAATGATGATGATTACCGTCGGGAGAATCTGGATTATCCAAAGCAATGACGGGTTTTCCAGCATCGACCCAAAATGGATACGTTATGCGAAACAAACCGCAAACGCTACCGTTGCATCCCAAAGTCGTGTTACAAGATGAAGCGGCTTCGCAAAGGCATCCTATGCAAATGTCGTCAGCTGGACCAACGGTCTTTTGCGATGATATAAAGGAACCTGAAAATGATAATGACGAACGAACCTGATTAATAACGATGCGATTAAAGAAGAAAGAAAAGAAAAAAGAGACGGGGGAGATTTTTCATGGATGATGATAACTTGAAAGGGATGCTGGAAAGAGGAATCGCTTAATGGGATAGGATTTAAATTTCGGGATGTGATAAAATTATTATTAGGGGGGGGGGAATAGGGGGAGAAATGTTGAGAGGGAGTAGGAAAAGATTTCCTGGAAGTAATATAAAAGTTAATATTAATTACCACCTAGTTTACTAAACTCTACAATCGACATTTATTATTATTATTATTACTTTTTTTTCGTTTCGAATGCGTACGGACGTTAAAATCCGTTAAAATCATCGAAAACGTTAATCTTAAAGAAAAAAAAAAAAGATGGCGGAACTTTTAAAAAAAAATGTCGCGTCAGACGAACGAACGCCGCGTTATTGTTAATAATTAACATTTGTTATTATTATTATTATCATTATATCACGGCCGATTGAAAATAATTAAAATATTCGAGGCCGTTAAAATAAATTAATTTTTTTTTTTTTTTTTAAATGCTATCTTAATTAACTTTTACATTTTCGACGTTTTTTTTTTTTTTTTTTTACATCGTTTGTCATTCGTTAAAAAAAAAAAAAAAAATCAAGTTCGAACCGTGTATATATATAAATGTCACGTGGTACGAGGACGACAACAACAACAAACGAACGTGTCAAAAAAAAAACTTTTGTTATTGATTTTAAATCCACGACAAATTTCCCTGCTTTTATACCCGTTCACCCCCCCCCCCCCAATACCGTTTCGTTTGGTTTTTCCCACCCTTCGTAACAAAACGACCCTTGAGGGGGAAAAAATTATTTATTAATTTGGGTTATTGACATAATTATTTATTTATTTATTTATGTATTCGACGACGAATTTTAATAATTTCTAACGAGAAAATTCAATAAGGCGGTGACTTTTCGATTCGGGCGCGCACGCGCACACACTCGCACTCACGCACTCGTTTATATTTATATGTAACTTTACATTATAATTTTTTTTTTTTTGTGTCGTCAAGGTTGGGCCGTACCTGGAATTCATATTAAAAAAAAAAATTCCTATTTTAAATATTTTCAAACAGTGCACAAGGAAAACTACAACTTCGTTATGATAATAATAATATTAATAATATGACATAATTTTCAAGGTTTCTTTTGTTTTTCTTTTTTTGTCATTTACGAAATCTTTTTTTTTTTTTTTTTTTTGTAAATTAAACATAAAATTGAGAAATTTATTTTTTTTTATAATGTGATAAAAAAAAAAAAAAAACAGGTTCGGTGTAGTAGGTACGATGAGACAAATTTTTTTTTTTTTATTTAAAAAAAAAAAAACATGGAGATTCCAGTAAATTAAAAAAAAAAAAAAAAAAAAAAAAAAAAAATTTTTTTCGCGTTTGATTTAACTTTACCGATTATGAGTGCGTGTGTGCGTGTGAAACGAGTTTTTTTTTATGTGTGTGTGTTCCGTGAAGGTTATTTTATTATTATTATTATTATATATTTTTCTCTAAAAATTCTTTGTCGATAATCGCGTGTGAAAAATTAAAAAAAAAATCAAGGATTCGATTCGATTCCATTTCTCGAACATTAAATTTTCGTACGTTATTATTATTATTATTATTATTATTAACGTTTGTGTCAGTCAGACGCGTTAGAGGGAAATTGATTTTACTACCCCCACCACCACCACCCCCATTCCCCCCATGAGGGTAATACGAAATGATTTCCTTTTATCTAAAAATCATCGTCAAAGTTCGAATTATGACGATAACCTTAATCGCGACGACGACGACGACGACGACGACGATTCTATTAATAGTCATAATAATAATAATAATAATAATAATAATAATAATAATTAATAATTAATATATAAAAAGGGGAGCCATTAAAATTAAATTAAATATTAATCCTTGACATTACAAATGGCAAGGATACTTTTTTTTAAATAAAAAAAACCAAACGAAAGACGTGTTAATTTACGTTAACGGTTAAAAAGAACGAAAAAAAAAAAAGTAAAATGGCCGCGAATTTTTAAATCGTTTTTAAATATATGCAAATTTACTTCCCCCCATTCCTCCTCCTTCTTCTCCTCCCTTCTCCCCCCATCGCAAAAAAAACGGACAAATTCGGTTTTCAAAAAAATTTTTTTTAATTTTTTAAAAATTTTATTTTAACAATTCATTTTATTTATTAACAATTTCATTTACTTTTTCTCCCTTTTCCCCCTCCTCTCCCCTCCCCTTCCTTCCCCCGATCCGCCATATTTGTTTGCCACCCTTTTCTCCGACATTTTATTTTTTTTTTACATTTCCCGCACATAAAAAAAAAAAAAAAAATGAATCGATTCTATTGAAAATTACAATTAACGCGAATGAATTAAATCGATTAATCAATCGATGGATCGATAGATCAATCGATCGATCCATCGATCAATAATTTTAATGATGATGATGATTAAAAAATTTGAAATAAAAAAAAAAAAAAAAAAAAAAACTCACCGGCAAATAAGAAAGTTCCTACCAAAACCCAAAGCAACATTTTTAAAATAATTAAATTATATTAATTTTATGTATATATATATAATCGCGTTCGTTCGACGATTAAAAACGAACGACAACAAACGACAACAACAAACAACAATAATAACAACAACAACAACGAATAATAATAATTATTATTATTATTTAAAAACGGTTGACGATGGCGTGACGGTGACGGTGACGATAACGACGATAACGACGACGACGACGACAACAATCAATAATTAATAATATCTATGTAATATTATTATTATTATTATTATTATTCTTTCCTATGTATGTATGTATTTATTAATATAAATTATTTAGTGCAACTGATGGTTTGTGCAAAACTAAATCGAATCGGGCAAAGTGAACCGTTAATATCACCACCGTCGAACCATCAAATGTATTTTAATGTAATAACGACTCAACTGGTTTACCGACGATCGGGTTTCTTGTCCTGAACGAACAACGAAAATCCTGTTTTTCTTTCTCTCTCTCTCTGTCCGCGTAACGTTCCAGGAAAATGAGAGAGAGAGAGAGAGAGAGAAAACATAATTTGTTGTATTTTTTCTTAGAATTCTAAACGGTTTCCAACGAACCCGGATTATGAGAGTGGGATCCTCTCTTTCTCGCGAACAGAGAAAGAAAAAAACTCGAAATTTATTATTATTATTATTAAATGTTTTTTTTTTTCCAAACGCGTCATTCGCGACTCGTTGATGATAATGATGATGATGATGGTGGTGGTGGCGGAGGTAACGATAAAACCTTATTCATTTATCACGGTTAAGAGTATCCAATTCGTGATCGTAACCCTGGGGAATTCCACTCCTTCCTTTGACCGCTTTGCAAACTTCCGTTTCTCCTATTTTTTGTTCCAGACCTTTCCACGTCCTGTTCATCAAATATTCGGCTCCCGATAACGAAGAAGCGTACATCGTTCCCGGGTTTTTTTCAAGTAAATCCTGAAAATTTTTAATTTTTGTAATTATATACGGAATGCGTCAATGTACGTGCGTGGGTGTGAGTGTTCCCCTTCCCCCTTCCTTCCCCACATCGTCCCATCTTTTCTCTCTCTCTCTCTCTCTCTCTCTCTCTCTCTCTCTCTTGAATGTATATACGTAAGTGTCGCAAAGATTTAATGGAAATGATTTGGGAAAATGTCAAAGGTGAACCGTTTTCTTCGCTTTTGAATTATTTACTTTCTCTCTCTCTCTCTCTCGTAATCTTTCTCCGAATTCAATCGAATAAATTTACATAGTATTAATAATAATAATAATAATTAATGTAGAGAGATGATGTGTAAATAAATGCGATCGGAAGTAATTTTTATGTAAAAAAAAAAAAAACATTTCGCGTAGTTGAGACGAGATGTGAAGGATGTGACGTAGGCGTATTAAAAGGAAAAAAGGAAAAATATTTCCAGCGCAGAGGAATTTTTAAAAAAGGAAAACGTTCAGAGAAAAATGTACACATTACAACAAAATGAGATGGTGGCATGTGAAGCCTAGAAACTGAAGAATTGGAAAACCAGCAGAACAACAACTTTATCTCATCTCTTTCTAGAATCATCTCGAAAGAAAAAGAAGGAAGCTGTAATAAGTGCTTAAAAAAATTACTTAAAAATGGAGAAACAGAATCCGGGAGTATGAGGAACCAACAAAAAATTATTACAAATACTCACACAGAGACAGAAGCGTATAAAAAGGATGAAAAAGTTCGTTAGGAAGGAAACCGGAAATGAATCCGGTCATCGTCCGACGATTGAATTTTATACTTTTGTTTTTTTTGAAGGGCAAAATTCTAAAATTAAGATGGAGCATCATGAGAAAAGATTGGAAAACTTATTTTTAATAAAATCCGGTAACTCGTAGCGGATGTTAACTCTGACGTGAATGCGTAGGAAACTCGTCTTGGATAATAAATAAATAAATAAATAAATAAATAAATTTTTCCAGTTTTGCGATAAGAAAATAAAGAAACAAATCAAATCACATAAATTATTAAGATGTGTGGAACGTTCGAGAAAATTCGATGACAAATGGAAATATTTGCAAATGAAAATAATAATAATGGTATGAATGACGATAAGAGAGATTAAAAAGGTTAAAGGACGTGATTTTTTTTTTTTTCAAGGGTTAATCAATCACGTGATTTGTTATCGATAACGCGAGTTTTTTTTTTTTTTTTTCATCGTTCGCGAATATTTAAAAAAAAATTGAAACGAACCCGTGAATTTTTTTGTTTTTCATCCGTGACCCCGTCGTTCTTGTCGTTCTCGTCGCCGCCATCTTTTTCTAAATTTATTTCTTTATAAAAACAACCACCCGGAAGTAGTTGTCTAAAATCGGAAGTGTATTCTACGCCGTAGGGACGTTCTCCCAAAGCCATTTCAATCTAAAAAAAAAAACAATTACAATTTAATATATAGATTTTTAATCGTTAATTTATGAGAATTACAAAGGAAAAATGGAAAAATGGAAAAATGGAAAAATATACCTCGATCATCGAAACGATGGGTTTATAATAACCTTTGAAATCTTTGAGCAATAAATTTTCTTGACACGATATGAAAACGAAAACATCAATTTCCGGAAAATTTGCCAATTTGGCAACGTTTGGTTTTCCAACGGCTAACTTGTAACATTTTTTCCCTGGAAATTTTTTTTAATTTTTAAAATTTTATTCAAACAAGAAAAAAAAAATTTGTTTTGTCGAAAGATTTTCAATTCATCATCACCTTTTTTTAAAATTAATTTTTTTATTCTATCGATTGCTTGCAAATAATTTTTTATTCCTAATGTTCCAATGAGTATACCAATCGTTTTGGATTCTTTTATTTTTTCAACCAAATGTATTCTTTTCATTAAAAATTTATTTCTGTTCATTTGATATTTAATTATATTCGAGGATTCGTCATTGTATAAAAACCAATCGAATTCTGGAATGAAAAAAAGACTGTTAAATGTATTTAAAAGTTTATTCGTGTTATTTCTTATTGAAAATTGAACTCACCGGGTAAACTCAAAACTAAATTTTCTAATGTGACACATTCTTTTCCTAAAAATATTGCACATGTTGTTTCATTCGATTGACATTTAAATATTCTTCCACATATAATTCTATTTTCATCGTTATTTGAATCGCATGATGCTGTCGATAAATTTAATTTCGATACAAATACATTAGGTTTATGTTTCAATGTACCTTGAGAGAGAGAGAGAGAGAGAGAAAAGGTTAGGTTGTAAAAATTTTTCATTTTTTAAATGTTTCATCCGATGAAATCTTACTCTTCATCTTCTCGTATAAATGATGATATGAATCATCATAAAAAATGATAATTTCCTGATGATCACATTCGAAATCCTCATCAAGGCATCGACAGAATAAATCCAAGTTTAAATTTTCCTTTGGGAAAATGTAAAAAACTGGTAGCTTTATGACAGGACTTAAACAAGCATGACCAAAATGTATGATTGAATCTCCATTAACGTGTTCTGATGCGACTTCGTCTACGCAACAACTAAAAAAAAAAAAAATTTCAATTGAATTGACAAAAATTTTTTTCTAAATGGCCAAATATAAATCCATACCTTCCATATGACGTATCACCCAAAATGTAAAAAGTTCTATCAAATGTTTTTTGTAAATATAATGCAATAGACGTTCCGTCATTAAGTAAATCGTTTGGAAATTGAAGGCAGGTCCTTTTGAAATTATTTTCATTTATCCATTCAATACATTTCGTTAAATTGTATTTATCAATTAGTTGTTGTTCAGGTGTTTCCGTTACAATATTAACATCTTTACAATGATTATTTTCAAAAACTTGTTGTGTGTATGTTGTAAACATGTCGATAAATATTTACTTACGTTTAATGTTAAATTAAAAAAATTTTTTACGGTTGTATACTGAATTTTAATTAATCATTATTTCGTTTAAAATATTAAACCGTTTTAACTATTGAGCTTTCATACGAAAAACTTTAATGAAAGTGGAATACGAAATACTTTTGTACTTAAAATAAAATATGTCGGACACAAATACTGATGAATTTAAATAGAAAAAAAGTCGATTTAATTTAAATAACAAAGTTTTTGTTTTGTTTTTGTTACTATTTCATTTATTAATTGATATTTTATGATTCTAAATAAGTCATTCTAACCTAACATTGCGTAAACGTTACTTAATAAAAAATTGTCGTGGCGGTAGATAGATTGTTCTAGAAGTTTGAATTTGTGAAAGTTTTAACGGATTTTTTTTTATTGGAATTTTTTTAAAGTCATTTTAAAGTTGCGTGACGGTTTTTGCATGTGTATTTCGATTTTAAAAGTTTTTTTTTTTAATGTATTGCATAAGTTTAACGAAAAAACAGTCTAATTATCCGCATTTAACGAATTACCAGCCTAATTATCTCGTTAATTCTCTGGATTTTTTTTTCTTCACTTCTCGCCGCCATTTTAAACAAGGTATTTGAAAATTATTAATTAAAATGAAACTCGTACATAAGTTAAAAATTAAACATCTACATTAATAATTTACTTAGTTTTAATAAATCACAAACAATAGACAATTAATATTTGGTTATATTTCTTAATATTTTTTTGGTTATGGTTTTTAGACTAGCATAAGTTTCGTTTTCCCGTTGATTTCATGTGAAAAGAAATAATGTCTTCTTTTGTTTTAAAATAAGCATTCAATCTGGCCATGGAATAATCCTAAAAAAAATAGAGATAAAACTCATGAGTTAAATGTTAGAAATCTATGTAGCCTTCTTTAAAATTTTCATTTACCCAATATCCAAATTTGATTCCACATTGCGAATGAGCAGCTGCCCATATACCCCACATTAAATGAGATAGTAATCTATACTGATGAACTTCATTTAAAAGTTTTTTTTCTTCTTCAGCTACGTATAAATTCATTTTAAAAATTATTATTATTATTATTATTATTACTATTATTAATCTATTGTGATATTATTTTTAAAAAAATGTTTACCATAATTTGTTATCGAATCCTTTGGTAACAATTCATGATATGTGGTTAAATATTGATGAATGAAACCCATCTGAAAGATATAAATTCGATAATATGAAAATGATGAATAATAATAATTTCCTTTGGAGTCAGTTAGCAAGTACCTGTTGTTCATGTGTAGGATAAGCAGATAAATCAATTGTAAAATGAGGATAATCTTCAGCATTATAATTCATCGTGTGTTCTAAAAAATGATTGGCCAATTCAAATCCTCTGTAGTTATATGAACAATATTCATAATCGATAAGAACAAGACTAGGATTGTTTGAATGTAGTGAATCGTTAGTAATTAATATATTTCCCTCCTGCAAGTCGTTGTGAGAGAACACAATCACTGAACTGTATTTTCTTAGATATTGTCTGAAAAATTGTCGTGTGTGAATTATTATTTTTCATTTGAATTTTAAAATATAGTCTGCACTTTGATTGTCATACTTGAGCCAAGCAACTTCGGATAATAAATCATAATTTTTAAATTCTTTAAACAATTCTAAATTTTTGGGTTTGTAAGTATCTTCGTGTAACAATAATTCCTGGAGCCAGTGAAACATCAAATCATAAACGAAATCAGGATTTTTCGATATTGGAACATTCAATGAGTGAATGTGAGCCATTTTTCTCGCAATGGCCGAACTTATGTTCGGTTTTGACAGTTCGCTCGTTTGCAATGGTCTAGCCTGAGAAAAAAAAAAATGGGATAATGAAAAAGTCGCATTGAAGTGCAATGTTTTATGAAATCGATTAAAATATACCATTAAAATTATCTCACATCTACAAATTCTTCTATCCTTCCATTTGGAAACACACCCAAAAGTTTCGGTCCCAATCCTCTTTCGGACATTAATAAAAAAACGAGGGAATCTGTGATTTTTTGATTTTTTGCAAATTTCCCATAGTTGGGACCGTTTATTCTCAATAAAATTGTATTTTGTTTTGAATCATGACTGGGATCCTGGAATGGGGAGAGAGTTATTTTGTACAACCAATTAGAAAGACCGCCACTGGAATTAACAAAATGATAATTTATACATAATTTACACAAAAATCATGCGGAGAAATTTTTTTTTGCATTTATTTATTTACTTTATTTTCTTGATGGTTATGCTATCGGAATCTGCTGTTTTCCAATGTCCATTTAAGTACGTTTTCACTATGTTTACTGCTGTATCTTTTATATCTGCACATTCGTTTGATATCTGTAAAATATTTGTTAGGTGAATTTCACATCGTAATTGAAAATTCATCAAGGATAAGATTTTGAACTTACACTGCGAATAAAATATCTTGAAAATCCATTTTTTAATTTTAATATCATCATTCAATAAAATTTTTTTTGATATGAATTCTGTCTCTGATAATAATGTTTGGTAAATTACAAGGTACAATAAATAAAAAATTATTAATAATGACTACTCCATTTAATTATAAACAAACAAACTTAAATAATGATTTGTAAATAACAAATGCAAATTAATACTTTCTGTTAGAGTGAAACATTAAAATTTGTATTTAATCAAATGGGGGGGAAATGCTTAAAAATTAAAATGAATAAATGATAAATCCCCCTTCAAAAAAAAAAATAACAAAGTGGCAGTAGAAAATAGTAAGTATTGTATAATGGCTGCGTTCGTAGCATAGTGTTCAGATGCCGAGGTTTGAATTTAAAACTTTAAGTTTGAATAAATTTGAAATTTTATCATGGTAAAAAAATAATTAATTAAATTTTTTTTTTTTTTTTTCAGTTATTTAAAATCTTTTTTATCCGATTACTATTATTATTATTGTTATTGTTAAGTTTTTTATTTTAAATTTTGTTTCATTTTTTGGTTATGTGTTTCATTTTTTTAAAAAAGGATCCTAAGAATCCGCCACCGATAGCTCCAAATTTTACTGGTTCACCAGGTATGCCACCGGCTGCGTTTTCTCCAACCGTTCCACCACCGATGATGAGCACGAATTTTATGACACCACCACCAGGTAGTTTTAATATGCTTCCACCCGGTTTCGGAATGCCACCCTTTATGGGAGGACCTCCCCCACAGGCTCAAGGTAATATGAGTTTTAAGGTATTAAATGAAAATGAATCGTTCACTTCCGCACATTTGATTTATTTTATTTTTTTTTTTTTTTTTGTAGATTTAGCAAAAAGTGCGATAATATCTGCAGGGCCTCAACTTTTAAATGAAAAGTCTAATGACTTAACGAGTAAAACAGAATCAGATTCTAGTAAATCAAAAGCTAGTGTTTGGACGGAACATAAAAGTCCAGATGGTAGAACTTATTATTACAATACGATAACAAAATTAAGTTTTTGGGAAAAACCAGATGAATTGAAAACTCCAACCGAAGTAAGGGAAACTTTTTGTATTTTTTTTTCAAAAATGTGATTTTTATCAAATTACCATGTTCAATTAACTGCTTAAATTTATTTTCAGCTTTTGCTTTCAAGGTGTCCTTGGAAGGAATATAAAAGTGATACTGGTAGAACATATTATCACAATGTAAATACTAAAGAATCAAGATGGACAATACCTGAAGAATTACAAGAGTTGAAAGAGAAAATTGCCAAGGAAGAAGTTGTACCAAAGTAATTTTAATTTACCATAATTTGTTATTGTAACATACTGTATTTTTATTAGGAATCATGTTTTTTCCCTCTCTCTATTTGCAGAACAGCACCTGTTGTAGTGGCGTCACCAGTCACTATTCATAACGAAGATTCTAATAGTTCACTATCAATGCCTTTACCCAGTGCAATTCCAGCACCGATGCCAATGCCAATATTAGCTCCGGCTTTACCCGGAGGTCCGATGCCTCCTATGGGCCAAATTCCTATACCAAATATGGGTAAATTTTATTTATTATTACCATTTCGAATTAACTTGCACAAAAAAAAAAAAAAAAAAAAAAATTTCTAATGTTTTTGCATTTTTCCAGGTCCTATAGGTTACATGCCACCGATGATGCCAGTACCTGGAATGAACATGATGCCAGTTCCACCCACTAATCCGTTACCTAGTCAAAATAATAATGACAGTAAAAGTTCAGCATTAGATCAAGCAATGGCTGCTACATTAGCAGCAATTAGCATACCTACAACACCAAAACTAGGTATCATTCTTTTAAATAAAATTAATTATTATTATTATTGCTTTTGACTGACATTAGCGGGTTATTTTTTTCGTGTTGTAAATTTTAGAAGAAGATAGTAATCAGTCGACAACACCGAAAGAAAGCACAACAAGTAGAAATTCAACGCCAGAGCCTAAATTAGTTTTTAAAGATAAAAAAGAAGCAATTGAAGCATTTAAAGATTTATTAAGAGAAAGAGTAAGAGAAGAAAAAAAAAAAAAAAACAAATTTTCGATGTTAAAAATAACTTGGAGATTATAAAATGTGAAATGATTTTGTTTATGTTATAGGATGTTCCCTCGACGGCATCGTGGGAAACATGTGTAAAAATGATATCGAGTGATCCGAGGTATCCACTTTTAAAAAAATTAAATGAAAAAAAACAAGCTTTCAATGCTTACAAGACGCAGAAACAAAAAGACGAAAGAGAGGCGAGTAGGTTGAAAGCTAAAAAAGCCAAAGCGGATTTAGAAGAGTTTTTAATGAATAACGAAAGAATGTCTTCCAATCTCAAATATTATAAATGCGAAGAAATTTTTGGAAATTTAGAGGTAGTAGTAACAAACGAACGGCAGGTAAACATGGTTTATTTTTATTATTGGGCTAAAAGGTATAATATTTTTTAGGTTTGGGATGCCGTTCCGGAAGCCGATCGACGGGACATTCACGAAGACGTCGTTTTCAATTTGGCGAAAAAAGAAAAAGAAGTTGCCAAGATAATGAAAAAACAAAATATGAAAAGTTTAGCTGCCATTTTGGATGCCATAACGGATATTGATTACAGAACGACGTGGCAAGACGCACAGCAAATGTTGCTCGATAACACGACTTTTGCTCAAGATTCTAATCTTCTCGGTACGAATTTTTTTAGTCAAGTTTGAAAGGAAAAAGTCGATGAATGAAATGAAATTTTTAATTTTTCTTTCTAGCCATGGATAAAGAAGACGCCTTAATTGTTTTCGAAGAACACATAAGAGAATTAGAACGGGAAGAAGCAGAAGATAAAGAAAGGGAAAAGAGAAGGATAAAACGTTTGCATAGGAAAAACAGGGATAATTTTATAGTTAGGAAAAAACTTTATAGTTATTTTTAAAACTGCTCGAAACTCGTTTAATTAAAAAAAATTGTTGGATTTGTTTCACAGGCTCTACTCGACGAACTTCACGAGCAGGGTAAATTAACTTCGATGTCTCTATGGGTCGAACTTTATCCCATAATATCGGCCGACATAAGGTTTTCCGCCATGTTGGGTCAGGGGGGTTCGACACCGTTGGATCTTTTTAAATTTTACGTTGAAGATTTGAAGAGTAGGTTTCACGACGAGAAAAAAATCATAAAAGAAATACTTAAAGAGAAAAATTTCGAAGTTTACGTGTCTACGACGTTTGAAGAATTTGCCACCATCGTTTGCGAGGATAGGAGATCGGAAACGTTAGATGCAGGAAATGTTAAACTTACGTACAATGCGTTTCTCGAAAAGGTTCGTAAAAGTTGTAAGGGAGAGGAGAGGAGGGGAGGGGATTAACACGGAGTTAATTTATACGCTTTATTTTAGGCTGAGGCCAGAGAAAAAGAAAGGATAAAAGAAGAAGTGAGGAAATTGAGAAAATTGGAAAATGCATTTAAAACACTTCTAAGGCAAAACGAAATCGATTACAGAGTCGAATGGTTGGAAATAAGGGGACAAATAGAAAACGACGAAGCATTTAAAGCGATCACGTTAGAAAGTGAAAGAATTAGAATTTTTAAAGTATGAATTGTGATTTAAAAATTCCGTTGGAAAAGTTTAATTAACGCGCGATAAAAAAAAAAAAAATTTCTCTTTTTTCTAATTCTAGGACTTTCAGCATGAAACGGAAGAATCATGCGGTCATCGTCATTCGAGGGGTAAAAAATCAAAAAAGAAAAGAGCGAGACACAGGTCGAGATCGGAAAGCGGGTCGGAATTTTCAGACGACAGGAGGAGTCATTCGAAAAAACGGAAAAAGAGACGATCGTCGAACGAGTCGGAAACTTCCAACGAGGAAAAATATTCCAAAAGGAAAAATAAAAAGGAAAAGAAGAGAAAACACGGTTCGGTAAGCTAAATATTATCAGAAATCGTAAAACGTTTTAGAAATAATAATAATAATTAGCCTAACAAACAAAAAAAGAAAACAAATGCTGACCTTTGAACTTTTGTAATGTGGTGTAAAGAAATGAATATATCATCGTGTGAGAAGAGAGAGAGAGAGGAAAAAAGGATTTAAAATTTTTTTGTTGAAGGCATCGGAATCGGATTCGCCGGGGATGGAAAGGGGAGAAAGGAAATCGATTGACGAACAACCGTCGAAAGACAAAGACGATGGAGAATTAAGCGAAGGAGAATTGGAAAGGAGACGATATTTGTTACTGCAACAATTACAAGAACAAGAAGAATGAAGAGAAGAATAAGAATAAATAAATAAATAAATAATCACAAGTGTCTCTACTTTCATTTTTGTTTTTTGTTTACACACACACACACACCCACACAGACTAGATTTAAATTAATTTTAAAAGGAAAACTTGATTCAAAAGGTTCAAGAAGAAATTGTTTCATAATTGCATTTTTTTTTTTTACTAAATTTTATTTTATTCTTTTTCTCTCTCTCTCTCTATCTCTATCTCTTTCTCTTCGATATTCATAGTGTAATTTTAATTAATTTTTAAGTATATAAATTGATTAAATATTTTTTGTACAAATTTTTTTATTTCTTTGTATTGAATCAAATTGTGTTTAAAAAAAAAAAAGGAATTTTGTACTCTATGGAATTAATTTAATCGATATGATTTCCGGTTAAACGACTTCCATGGAAACATAAATTTCAATAGTTTTTTTTTTATATTTACGTTTACGATTTTTATGTATAATCGAGGATAATTTTTAATTTTTTTATTTGTTGTTGTCATTATTATTATTATTATTTATTTATTTAATTTTTTTTTTTTTTTACTTGTGTTCCCCCCCGTATTAATTAATAATAATAATAATAATAATAAATATGTGAAGAATTGAAGTGAGGAGGAGAAAAATATGGCGGAACGTACGTTAACACCGATAAATTCTCTCGTTAAATATGAAAATCCATTATTGGTAACAAGACACGATGATAAGAAAAGTTCAGGTACGAAAGGTGCCATAAGAGCATGTTCACCATCGAAAGAAGGAAAAGTCAAAACGGAAACGGAAGAAATATTAAATGCAATACTTCCACCGAGACAATGGGAAGAAGATGGAAATCTTTGGATGCAGCAGGTTTTCTCTTTTGTTTATAACTTTTAATAAAGTTAAAAAAATTTTTTGTTTTTAATTTAAATAAATAAATAAAATATTTAATTAATAGGTTTCGAGCGTACCTGCAACGAGATTGGATGTGATTAACCTACAGGAACAACTCGATATGAGATTACAACAGAGGCAAGCAAGAGAAACTGGGATTTGTCCCGTTAGAAGAGAACTTTACATACAATGTTTTGGTACTGCACACAAAAACCTGAATACCTGCACATCAATTATTATTTATTTATTTATTTATTTATTTATTTCAGACGAACTTATTAGACAAGTAACGATTAATTGCGCGGAAAGAGGATTGCTATTATTAAGAGTTCGTGACGAAATTAAAATGACTTTGGCCGCTTGTCAAACCTTATACGAAAGTAGCATAGCGTTCGGTATGAGGAAAGCACTTCAGGTACAACAAAATAAATAAATAAACATTTATATATAATTTATTATTATCATTATTATTAATGCTTTTTTCCTTTTTTTTTTTTTTCAACGAATAAATCGATAATTGATAAAAGGCCGAACAAGGAAAAGCGGATTTAGAAGAAACTGTTGAAAAATTATTAGGAGAAAAAGCGGATTTGGAAAGGCAAATAGCGGATTTGAGAGCGAAAGCGGAACAAGTCGAAAGAAGGTTTAGCGAATTGAGGCAGGCCGAAGAAAAGAAACACAACGAAGAATTACAATTTTTAAAGAAAACCAATCAACAATTGAAAACTCAACTCGAAGGCATAATAGCGCCTAAAAAATAATAATAATAATAATAATAATAATAATGAAAAATAATTTTTTTCCTTTTTTTTAATATGTCGGTCGATTATTATTTAATTAATAAATCGAATTTAAATGAAATGAAATAATAATAATAAATAAATAAATAAATGAAAAGGAACGTGAGAAACCTTTTGATTACAAACAACAAAATGGCGTCGCGTTAAAAAAAAATAAAAAAATTTTTAATTATTATTATTATTATTATTTAATTTTGATTAATTTATTATTATTATTATTATTATGTAATTGGTAACTTTTTTTTTTTTTTGTGTGTGTGTCTCTGTAATAAACAGTGAGCTATTGGCTATAAATATTTTATTTGAAATTACTTATTATTATTATTATTATTATTAATGGATAGTTATAACGCGTTTTTTTTTTTTTTATTTTTTATTTAATAACTCGATTAAATAAATAAATAATAATAATTAAGGAACTTGGGGTAAAAATTTTTTTTTTTTTTAAATAATTTTTATTTTATTTTATTTTAATTAATTAATTTAATTATCATTATTATTATTATTGCAATTTTTTTTGAAAAAATAAGAATTATTATTATTATCATCACTATTAGTAGTAGTAGTAGTATTTAATTATTATTATTATTAAATTTAATAAGCGTTCAAAATTTAAAGCTGGAAAAAAAAAAACGAAAAAGTCTAAATTATTATATAATTATTGTTTTTATCATTATTATTATTAATATTAATATTATTATTATCATTATTTAACGTAATTAATAATTTTTTTTTTGCTTGTTTAAATTACGTATTAAAGGTAGAAGAATGTTTTTTTCTTTCTTTTTTTAATAATAATTCTCTCTCTATTTATTTATATATTTATATATATACTTAATAATTATTTATTGCAATTATTATTATTATTAATAACTATTACTATTATCATCTAATTATTATTATTATTATCAATTAAAGCCGTTTTTTTTTTTCAACTATTTAAAATTCTAATAGCAGAAAAATTTAAGAACAAGATTCAAAAAATATCAATTATATATATATTTATTTATGTATTTATGTAATTATGTATGTATGCACGCATGCATGCACGTGGACGCACGCACGCACGCACGTGTGTTTGTGTGTGAGGGTAATATTTGATTTTCAAAAAAATTACAGGTGAGGGTGTTTTAAATATTATTTTTAATAATAATAATAATAATAATAACTTAAAACATATAATTAACCCATTAATTATTGTCATGTAAGAATGATCCTTATTATTATTATTATTATTATTATTATTATTACGTTTCGATTTAATTTTAAGTTGATTAATTAATTAATACTTAACCGTATACTCAATTATTAATATGTTTATGTATGTATAACTTTATGTGAAATTTCACCGCACTTTTTTGTGCTTTGTACGAATTTTTCATTTATTTATTTATTATTATTATTATTTATTTTAATTTATTATTTTCACTAGAAAATTATTATTATTATTTTGAATGATGACTATTCTAACACGATTAATAACGACGGTCGTTTTTTTTTTTTTTTTTTTTTTTTTTTAATTTAAATTTTTAAAGATTATTATCACGACTAGATTTATTTATTTGTCTTTTTTATATTAATTATTAATTATTATTATTAATTTATTAACTACGACTCGGGATTAAAACTAACTCTTAATAATTAATTTACACATCATCATCGTCATCACATAAAAATAAAAATAAAAATTTTTTTTTTTTTTTTTTTACTATTGGAAGGGGGGGGGACTTAATTTTAATTATTATCATTATTATTATTATTATTATTATTATTATTATTATTATTATTATTATTATTATGGC